ACTTACTATCTGGTCATTTGATTTAATACTTTTTGCCTCTTTAAAGTCTGTTTCTTATATAACTATTAAACTATATAGTTAATATAGTTTGTTTATTTGTTAGGATAATTTATCTGTGTTATCTGCAGTTGCTCTTAAATGCCAATTTTCTTTTGATTTCTCAGTTGGTACTGCTCCTTCCTTCCTTCCTTCCTTCCTTCCTTCCTTCCTTCCTTCCTTCCTTCCATCTTTCATTCCTTCCTTCCTCTATCTCAGTATCCATAGTCAGTATAGGTCTCCAATTTGAAAGTTTAATTCAAATACTGTATTATTCAAAAAATATTTTTCTGTAGTTTAGGTAATATAGCTACAATATTGCTAGAATTTATGTTATTGAGAAGCTGACCCCTGCCCCCGCGCCTGGCTGTCCTTGCCGGGGCCCCTTGAAGGGGAGCGGGTCGAGCTTTCCTCCCCGCCCCAACCAGGGCTCCAGCAGCCGAAGACCCCCAGGACCAGCCACTACCATGCTGAGACCACTCTCCGCACACCTGAAGATACTGGCAGAGGAACAAAGGCAAGCGGTTTCCCGGGGCTGAGATCTCCAAGCCTCCTCAGATCGGGGCTGAGCATCCTCCACCCAGATCCTCCGAATTCCAGTAGGCCTGGGTCACACCCACCAACTGGCCCCCTGGCGCCGTGTAATCCCATCAATGGCCAAGACTCAGAGACTATAAAAACCAGCTCCCGGAAGAGAACAGTGCAGTCTCCTGCCCCTGCGCCTGGCTGTCCTCGCCATCTTATTTTCTTATTATGACATCTTATTATGACATCTTATTATCTCATTTCTACTTTGGACAAACTGGCAGGCTACCGAATGTAACCTGCCCACACGGCAGAGTCTGGCAAACTCCCCGTGGCGTACCCAATATGCCAAATACCAGTAACAATGATGGGACTCATTATCCTAAAGAGCCTTGAATATGGCACTTAAAAATCTCAGGGCTAGGATGAAGGAGACATTATTGGGGCCTGTTCGAGGCAATCGACGAATAACAGGATGGTCGTGATTCATGAGAAGCTGACAATACAGTACGGTGCACTGGGTGCTTGCCTTGCATCCAGCCTACCTGGGTTTGATCCCCAGCACCTGATTTTGTTCCCTGAGATGTATCCAGGGTGATTCCTGAGAATAGATCCAGAAAAAAACCCTGAGAACTGCTAGGGATGGCCCCAAAACCCCCAATAAAAATAATGAAATCAAGTTAGAGGTATTGAGATAAAAAGTTATTATAACCCCTCCTGCCAGTAAAGTTTCCCTTACCCCACAACATTGTCCTCATATCACCTCTGGTCTGAAATGCTATTCAGTATCCGCCCCCCCTTTGCCCCCAACACATACATGCACACTTCTAGTTAATCAGTTTTTGAGTTTTGCTTGACTCACACCCAGTGGCGCTCAGGGCTTAACTACTGTCTCAGCGTTCAGGGGTCATTCCTGGCAGGGAGTGAGTGGGGTCCATATGGAGTGTCAAGAAACGAAGCAAAGCCAAGTCAGTCACATGCAAGCCAAGCACCCTGCCTGCTGCATTATCTCTCCATCCCTAGTAAATCAGTTTTGTAACACAAGTTTAAGAGTCTGTCATAACTTTATACTGTAAGTTTCCTTGTTTTGTCTCTGTATTCCACAGAAGAATGGAATTCACTAGTATTTGTCCCTTCCTTCTAACTTCTTTCACCTGAAAATGTCCTGCAGTTCCAGCCACAGTGCAGCAAACCACATGCTTTCATCTTATAGCTGCATTCTATCCCTTCAATTATAAATGTTACACAGTCTTTATCCATTTGCCCATCTTTGGACAGTTGTTTAAGCGGCCAACATGGCCGACCCGAGTTCGATTCCTCCGCCCCTCTCGGAGAGCCCGGCAAGCTACCGAGAGTATCTCACCCGCACGGCAGAGCCTGGCAAGCCACCCGTGATGTATTCAATATGCCAAACACAGTAACAACAAAATCTCCAATGGAGATGTTACTGGGCCCGCTTGAGCAAATCGATGAACAACGGGAGGGCCTTCTTCTTCTTCTTCTTCTTCTTCATGCATATATATATTCACACATACATATATGTACATACATACATATATATATATATATGTGTCTGTGTGTGTGTTGGGGAAAAATGCCAAGAAATGAAATACATGAGTCACATGGAAATTAGTAGTTCTGATTTTTTAGAAATCTCCGTATTCTATTCATTAGAGGGTGAACTGGATGATATTTCCACTAGCAGTGAATGAGGGTTTCTTTATCACTGTATCCCCACCAAAACAGGTTGTTTCAAGTGTTTTATGAAAAAAAGTGTTTACTGCTATGCAATACCAAAGAAATATGAATCAAAACAATAAGATGCCATCCAATATCAGCGGGAATCATGTAAATTGTTCTATTTTAAAAAGTAATTATAATTTTGGTCTATTTGAAAAAGGAATTTTGATTATCTCACACTGAATGCTTGTGAATGATGGTCTATGTTGCATCTGAAATCAAATTAAATTCAATCTAGTTAAAATTCAGCAATATCTAGGACAGAAACATGTGGTAAATATGTAAAAGCAAATATATTATGTATTAAAAGTGGAACCATCATATTTATTTGTTATGCATGAGAAATTTGTAACATTAGAGACCTTAGGATTATGTAATAGAACATCTATTCAATTTTTGCCATGATAGTACTTATTCTAACATTAGAAATCAAATCATATTCACTGCAATCTTGTAATCATGTAAATAATAGATTTCTAATAAAACACTTTTTAATTTAACTTGTGATACCATGCCCATCTTCTAATAATTAGCAAAAATAGAAAGGACAGACAGATGAATAGATGCATTGCTGACTAAACTAATCTAAATTTGCTAAGAACACTTTGAGTGAGAAGCTGAACTTTAAATTACCTAACAACTTTCAATATTCTACTCAGAAATAAATGATAGCTTTTAACCTAAAATTTCTGGCTAAAAACATTTTTAAAAGCAATATAAAAATAATCTACAATGTGTCTCAGAAACTTTGATAGTAAGTTGGTAGATAGCACTGTAGCACTGTAGCACTATCCTGTTGTTCATTGATTTGCTCGAGCGGGCACCAGTAACGTCTCCATTGTGAGACTTCTTGTTACTGTTTTTGGTATATCAAATATGTCCTGGGGAAGTTGCCAGGTTCTCTGAGAGGGATGGAGGAATTGAACCCAGGTTGGCAGCATGCAAGGCAAATGCCCTACCAGCTGTGTTATCGCCCCAGCCTATAGTTGATAGATAGCACTTCCATATAATTGGCCTGACCTGTTTTAAAAATTGTACATTAATTGATAGAATTATTTTGGTTTTGGCTCACATGCTGCAGTTCCCAGGATTTACTCATGGCTTTGTGCTCAGGGTTCATTCCTGGCAATACTCAGATGACTATATATTATGCAGTTGATCTAACCCAGGTGCAAGGTGAACACCCTACTCACTGTTCAATCCCCAACATCACAGATAATCTCCCAAATACTATCAGCAGTAATTCCAACACTCAGGAATTAGTCCTGAGTACTCATAAGTATGGCCATAAAATCATAAAAAGAAAAATCAGACTGGAAACCACCAGTGTTTTTAGAAATCTAGTAAAAAAAGGAGCCCTCATTCACCATCAGTGGGATGTTCTCTGTGTTAGCCTTTATGAAAAACAGTAGGAGATTTTTCAAAAGAGTGATAATCGTTCTCCGAAATGATCTAGTAATTCCATATCTTGACATCTCCACCACCTCACTCCCTGCCCCAAACACAAAACCATGAATTCAAAAGATAGATAGACATCTTAGCTCATTGCAGCATGTAGTACAATAACCAGGATATGGAACAATAGATCAAATTTCCAAAGACAGATGAATGGATAAAGGAATTGTGGCATATATGCACAAATTCCTATGTGAGAAAAGATGAACTCAAACAGGTCTGTGCTATGTGGATGAAATTGAAGGATATCATGCTGAGCAAAATAAGTTAGAAAAAAAAAACAAATACCAGATAAGCTCACTCATCTGTGGAATATACAAGGACAAAACAAGAAAAAAGACAGTTTGAAATGGACAAAGGCTTGATACTGTATTGCAAAACTTATTAACAAGAAGTGGGGACAATAATAGAAGGGGGAGATATGAAGAATGGACTGGGGTAACATAGTAAGTTAGTATCTGAGGCTCCTAGATAGTTTATTGTTCCTGATGTAAACTGAGTGAATCAATACCACAAAATTTAACACTATTTTATCTATAAAAATAACATAAAAATATTAAGAGGACCAGAGCATTAGTGCAGGGACTAAAGAGTTTGCATTACACGCAATCTACCCAGATTCAATCCCTGGCATTGCACTGACTACTATCAGGAATGAACGATGCCTGAGAACAGAGCCACGATTAATCATTGGGCACCACTGGATGTGGCTCCAAAGCAAAAAACATAAGTAGCATTGTTTCTAAAGTTGTAACTAGCTATAACATGGCTAATCTGAAAGTGAGACTATTACCCGTATCTAAACACAGCCTTGTTCTGAATGTCATTTTTTGCACTATTACTTCTGTTAATTTTGAAGTGCTCAGACTATGGACAACCTGTTAGATCCCCAGCACTGTATATAGTCCTACATATAGCCAGAGTCATTCTTGAGTACAGAGCCAAAAGTAAACTGTGAGCACACCTGGGTGTAACCTCAAAACCCAAATCATCATTCCATATTATGAAGTGTTCATAAAATCATAAATTTTAAATAAAATATATTTCTGCATATGTTACATTACAATCAAGGAGAAAAATAATAGTAAACGTTTTAGAAAAATTCGTATTTTATTTTCTAGTTGATTTTATAATTATTAACAATTATACATTTTGATAGTAATGTGCAAGTTGGCTTTTAAATAGGGCTATTATGTTTAATTAAATGTTTGCTAAATAACTTTAGAATGCAGAAAGGTTCCTACCTGAATAACTTTTTGGGACTGCACATCAACAATAAGGACTCTGTCCAATGTTGGCTGAGCAACATATATAAACTTGTCTTTGACATTCACAGCTGAAGCCCAAACACATCTCTGAACTTCATTGCTGTCTAGTTTAGGACATACTTCATCCTGTAATGTAGAAAATAGAAATATTAATGATAGGCTTAAATTGTAACATGAACATAATCATATCAAAAGCAAAATAAATATCAGATATACTACTTTAAACACAAAATTTAAATATTTACACAAATGCATATATATGTATAAAGCTTCCGTATAAACTAGCCTATCTACAACATATATGATGAAAATCTATGTAGAAGTTTAAATTAAATATAACTATATAGGGCACACATTTCTTTTTTAATGTATGTACAAAGCTCTGTAAATTATATCCCTCTAAAATAAATTTTACCAAGTCTTTAAATACTTGGATTGAGATATAGGGTATGACATTATTAACGGTTCAAATTGAGAAACTTCTGGAATATATAAAAAAATTCCAATATTTTACTCAAATGCCCCACACGCAAACTACTGTACAAGAGATTAAATTTCCCTCAAAGCATATATAGTTTCTCAAGCTTGCATCGAACATCAATGTAATTATCAAAAATCTACAATGTTACTAATGAAATCTTTTAATTTGTTAGTAATCAGAAGCTTAAAAAATATGACATAACTATTCAAAATGGTTGTTTTACTATTTAACTTCATTTAAAGTTTAAATTTTGCAAAATCCTTCTATCTGCCCAAAATACTTTATTATGGTCCTTCATCCTAGATCTGCCTTTTGATTGGACAATAATATATAGCTTGTGCTATATGGTCATAAATGAGATAAATAAACCATCTATTTCCTCCTTTCTTGAATTTTGTGAATAAACATTGAACAAGCTTTTGTGATTTAGAGGGTATTGGAAGTAAATAATAATATATAATAATATATAAATTAATATAAAAGTATATAATATATGCTGCAAGATGCATCACAGAAGACCGTGTTAAGCTTAGAATCTTTTTTCAGATTTTTTTATTAACAATTGTATTGGTTTTGTAGTTCTCTTAATTTATATATAGTTTGAATAAATTAGTATATATTTTTGGAATCAGATGTAAGGGGTAAATTAATTAGTACATATGAAAGTTGGTTGTAAAGACATACACCTGAAACATAGAATAGTTTGGTGCAATGCTAATTCAATACAAATAAAATATATTTGCTAGATTTGTATCTGTGATAATAGACTTACTTACATAATAATCATATAGCAATAAACATTGATTCAACTATTTGTTTTATGATTTAAGTCAAAGTATTGATTGCTAATATCTAACATATTGATTTTTTTCCTCTAGTGGATAATAAGCTAAATTAGAATATGTTTTGTTTTACAATTCAAATAAAATTGCATTTCTTAGCTAAAATTCTACTAACCATTAATGTTTAATAATAATATAACAAGTATTCATTATCTTCCCATTAAGCATTTCTTTAATTATAATATTATAAAACAAGAAGCTATATTTAGAATTGAGTCACTGAAATAAATAGTTCCATATCATAACTTTTTTCCCTTGGTACAACCATAATAATTTAAAGTTTTCATAAAATCTGTAAAAATAATGTGAAACCATAGTCTTGTGAGTGAGAACAAATCTAATATTAATCAAGGGGAAACAGAATTGTTCACTGTTTTGCTTTCTACATTTTGATTTTTGTGTTTTGGGAGAGAAGGATCTTCCAAACAGTTATCAGGGGACCCAGGGCTCACTTCCATGATACTCAGCCAACAAGGACAAATAGTTCAATGCTCAGTATAGGTGGTGTGGTGCCACCTGGTCCAGCCATGCTAAGGCTACTACACCAAGCCCAGCAATATTTTAGAAGCCTCTAAGACTATAGCCTGTAATGATCAAGGGATCATGCAGTCCCGGGGATAGAGCTTGAGTCCATGTACGGCGAAGGCATATATTCCTGACCACTGACATACACCACACTATTTTTTTTTCTTTTTGGGTCGCAGCCTGCTGTGCACAGGTGTTACTCCTCGCTCTGCACTCAGGAATTATTTCTGGCGGTGCTCGGGGGACCATAGAGGATGCTGGGAATCAAACGTGGGCTGGACGCATGCAAGGAAAATGCCCTACCCGCCGTGCTATCCAGCCCTCCACTTCACTAATTTTTAAGAACCAATGTTTAACTTGCTGGGATTAAACCAAAACAACAGAATCACATAATGGGTAGTTTTCTCCTCCGAACTGGACACACCTTCAGTCTTCTAGTACATTAAAGCAAAACAAAACAAAAAACCACAAGAAACTGAAAATGAAGGATACAGTGTATTTTTTGGTAAATCTGGAGGAAGGAAATTAACTCCATTACACACATGTCCAACAGTCATGAAAAAATGAAGGCACACAATTGTGGTCCTTGTGAGGAATATGCATGACATCTTAAGCAGGCAGAACAAATGTGAAGGTAAAAATAAAGTCCCCAGGACATGGCCAGAATATTCTATTTCCATGGTCAGTTCCTACTAAAACATTATTTTCTACATGAAGGTTTTCTTTTTGTTGTTATAAGTACACTGAATATCTTTGACAAGAACCTATTTTGTGAGAATCAAACAGGATGAAAATACAAACTTGAGAGGCAAAAAAAGGTGGTGGGGAAAGTGGGACCCAAAGTTGACAAAAGATGCTGAATACAGGGAAATTGTTTATAAATTATGCACTGTTGTGTTAAAGCTATCAACAAAACTTGCCAAAATAACAGGAAAGTGTGAGCCACCTGACACCTAACTGTCAACCAAACAACTGCTGAACCAAGAGTAACTCCCAGCCCTTTGTTTGCTACAAAGCTATTCAGCAGTAAAATAAACTGCTCTGCTGGGAATGATTTCCCATTTGTATGCTTTTCCCATAAGAAATCCCTGAACAAACTCACAATCATTTTTACAAAGCCATTAAAAGTTTCCTGACAGTAACCCTGAATTTTCTTTGCTTCACTTCATGCCATTATTTCTTATTATAGTCTATTAGTTCCCGTTTTACAATCGCAATCTTATTTTTTTTCAGATTACATAGATTAATTTTTATTTCTGTGGATAGGGATTGTAGTGGAATGGTTTTCACATGCATTAGGCATTTAATGGAATAAACTGAAGTAAAAAAAATACCAGACATGCAAAATAAGATTATGGTAATACATACTGATAAAGAGAGCTGTCAGGAATTGTATTAAAAGTATCTTTAAATCACTTTATGTAGAAATGCATGCCACCATATAGAACAGAAGGAATTAATGAGCTATTAAACGTAACAAGGACAAAAATCAATAAAAGGATAATAGTATGTTATAATTATAACTTATCAATTTAGCTCCCTTTGTGTCATTTCATATTTTCTCATGTGTTATCCTCTCCTAAATTATTTAAAAGTTTTTAGATATCTCATTAGCAATGACAGCAATGTAAATTAGCAATTAAATTAATGTTGACATCTGATTTGCTAAATGTAAATAAACCAAATAATCAAATGTACACATCCTCTATAGGTTTCATTATTATTATATATACTTTTTATTTAGGAGGCTGAACCTGGAGTTGCTCAGTGCTTACACAGTATCTTTACTCAAGGCTCATTTACCATATGAAGTGCAGGGGATTGAACCTGGCCAACCAATAAGTGTCTTACTTGCTGTACTGTCTTTCTGACCCCAAGAATTTCGTAGTTTCCTTCTTTAATGCATCCTGTTTTATGGGTAATACAAATTTATAGGGCTGGAGCGATAGCACAGCAGGTAGGGCGTTCGCCTTACAAGCGGCCAACATGGCCGACCCGAGTTCGATTCCTCCGCCCCTCTCGGAGAGCCCGGCAAGCTACCGAGAGTATTTGATATGCCAGACACAGTAACAACAAAGTCTCCAATGGAGACGTTACTGGGCCCGCTCGAGCAAATCGACGATCAACGGGAGGGCCTTTACTTACTTTACTTACAAATTTATAGCAAATCTCCATTGTCCTTGTATATAATTCCAAAAATTTTTATCATAATCTTCATCCTTTAATCTAATTGTAGATTTAGCATTATTTTTGGCCAGTAAAAGGATCTACCCTTTATTTAAAACTTTTCTTAATATTGTGCCATAGTGATGTTGCTTGGGAGTTCTCCTGCTAGGTGCTCAGGTTAGACTCCTGATGTTATTTATGGGATCAAGAAGTGGTGGAAATCTATTCTGAGGTGCCTACATGCAAAGGATGTTCTTCAGTTCTTTATACTATTGCCTCATCACTACATTTTGTTTTATTTATAGTTATGCGTCATATATTAAACATGTACATTTCCAAAAATATTGAGAAAAAAAACAGTAATTTGTTTGTTCCTTTCTAGTCACACTTTAAATTATCTCCTACTTTCAAAGAAGCTGTCAAAAGCTGTACTTCAATTTTCTGACTTTTCACATGAAAGTTTGCATGCTTCAAAATGAATTTCAGGAAGTCTTACAATAGAGAGAGGTCTTGAAAAGTATCTAGTAATCTTAAAATTTCTCATCATTTATCTTTAAACAAATTATGAAGAATTGTGTTATGCTTTGCTCTTAGGTTTTGGGGCACACAGATTGTGCTCAGAGCTTACTCCTGACTTTGCACTCAGGGGTCACTCCTGATGGGGCTCAGGGAACATATGTAGTGCAGGTAATCAAAGCCAGCAAGGAAAGTGCCCTACCTATTGCACAATTTCTCTGCCCCTTATGAAGAATTTTTGAATACTTCATCTGTAAAATATTGCATGTTATGTTTTAAAATCACTGTATCTCTGCATCACTGTCATCCCGTTGTTCAACAATTTACACGAGCGGGCACCAGTAACGTCTCCTTTCATCCCAACCCTGAGGTTTTATCAGCCTCTCCTTACTCATCTTTCCCAATGCTTCCATATTGGAAGCTTTTACAGGATCAGGGGACTGGGACCCGTTATTGTTACTGTTTTTGGCATATCAAATATGCCATGGGACACTTGCCTGGCTCTGCTCTGCAGATGGGATACTTTCGGTAGCTTGCCGGGCTCTCTGAGAGGTATATACATTCTAAAAACTAAAAATTATATATATATGTATATA